GTGCCACTTGCTACACAGTACAATTTATTAAACCAATGCCCTACTGGTGAGCACTTAGGTTGTTTTTGATTTTTTGCAATGACAAGAAAGTGCTTTCACGGACATCTTTATACATCTACTATTATGCATGTTTACAAGTGAAATTACTGTGTTCAGGGAACTGACATTAAAAATGTTGATCACTACCCTCACGAAACAAAACTGTACCGCCCAACAGTCCAACACCAAGAGACAGAGTACCTACTTCCCAAACCATCACTAACAGTGGGTAATGTGTGTCTTTATCATTTTCACAAATCTCATTGTACTTACATTTTCTTGACGATAAGTGAGGCTTACTACTTTTTTCATGTGTGAAACTGACCAGCTGCCCCTCTTTCTCTTCCTCATCTCTCGTACTTTGCCCAAGGGCTCTTTTTCATCTGTTACAAATATTTGTTTCAAGCTTATCTCCCTTCCACGTTGTTTACGGTGGCTTTCGGCAATATGCAGTTAAACTTACAGATTTCTCCCTTTAGAGGTTCTGGCCTTGGTGATACCCAGTGCAACCTCTGAGAGCCGGAACTTGACGGGACTGCCTTGTTTTTCCGGGTCTCGCAAGTTTCCGCCTTTGACAGGGTGCAGTCTCACCACTTCTCTATCATTTCAGTGGAAAATTCCTTCTCTGACAGGTTTCCACCTTACACAGGTACCAGCCTTCGCAGATTTTACTGTATTTAGAAAGATCTCCCCTACACCAAGATTGTAAAATTGTTCCCCTATAGTGCCCTCATGGTTTTATTTTTCATAAAACCTCATGAACCTTCTTGAATTAATTTGGGAAATGATACGAGGTAGGAATGAAATTATTGTTTTCCCAAATCTTCATGTACAAAGATACCATTTATTGACTAATTTTTAATCTTCCCCACTCATTTGAAATTTTATATTTGTCCTATAATAAATCCCCATATTCATATTTTTGTACCAGCACATGCTATTTTGGTACTTCTAGATCATTTCCTACCCTACCCCACTCTACCCTGCCCCCTTATCTTCATTTTAAAAACGTTGTTAGCTCCTCTTAAGAATTTCTGCTTCCAGAGGAACTTTGGATCCAATCAGAAAAAAGTTAGAGAATAATCTGGGGGAGAACGGACATTTCTATCATATTGGATCTACCCATCCAAAAATATGACAAGGCTCTGTTTATTTAGGCTTTTATCTGCCCTCTGGATAAAGTTCTATAATCTTCTTCATCTAAATTTATTCTTAAGTATGTTTGAGTTTTACTGTAAACAGGATCTTCTGCGACATATAAAAAAGCAGTTGGTTTTTTGTCTATTTACTTTCTATACAGTCACCTTACTAAGCTTTTTAGCTCGATGTGTAAAACCTATTTATCAAAGTAGTACCTGTGCTTGCTTTCAAAAACAGAAAACCTGAGGGCCCCTAGAAAAGCAGGTCCCTGCACAGCCTGCTCGACAGCGGCAGCTACTGTCACACACGCTCTCATGACTGTCCAACTGATTCTCTGGAAGTGTTCTAGAAATGTAGTCAATTTGTCTGCAAACGTTCATCAGTAGATCTTTCTTCTCCATTATTGACTCGAATTTCTTCTTCTCGTGCCTTGCCTTGGCCCTCTAGGAAGAGGGTTGGGTGACACTGTCAGTAGCAGCCTCCTGGCCGATTCCTGACTTTAATGGCAACTGTTACTGCTTCACCATTAACTGTGGTGACCACTGACAGCGTCTGATGCACAACCCTTGGAAATCAACATTTCTATTCCTAGTTTTCTGAGCGTTTTCTTCTTCTTTTAATCAGTAATGGTTATGGAATTTTATCAAAACCTATTTAACCCAATACCTTATATTTTCTAATATTAAACCATCCTTGCATTACTGGAATAAATCCTACTTGATCTCGGTGTGACACTGTTTTAGTATGGTATGTTATGGGATTCTCCTTGTTAATATTTTATTCAGGGTTTTTTTGATCTATAATACTAGTGAAATTGAGCTCTATTTTCTTTTTTTTGATGCTATCTCTGTCAGGCTTTAGAACTGGGTTGTTTTAGCCTCTCATAATATGCATTCTTTTAGTTAAAGAACTTTAATCCCCACGGGTCTTTCTCATCAACACCTTTCCTTTTTAAACCAAGCTTAACAATTCAAGATCCAAAAAGCACGCATTTCTTGTGTAAACTGAGACCTCCCAGGCAATCATACATCTCCATTTCCAGGTCATAAAGAAATGGGTATAACTCAACTAAAATTCAACACACTGTGGGTGTCCAAGAAATGCCTTTAATTGGTAACTTGAGGGAAAGATGTGGCAGTCTGCTTCTGGAAAGCTCACAGCCTTGGAAACCCTGGTAGGGCAGTTCCACTTGGTCCTATAATAAGGTCAGAACTGACTTGGCGGCAGTGGGTTTAATTGATAATAGTGGTAAACAAAAAGAGAATGTGGATATCAGGGACTGTGGGAAGGGAGAGTGGGGGGTGATTACCGAAAGGGCACCGAGTTTGTTTGGGGTGATGGAAAACTTTTAGAAACACACAGTAGTGATGATCGTACAACATGTGAATGTAATTAATGTTGCTGAATCGCACACTTAAAAATGGCTAAAACGGCAAGCTTTTTGTTATATATATTTTACCACAATAAATCTTGTTTAAAAAAGACCAAAAATGAGGAATTATCAGACCCTATCATTTACTTTTTTAAGCTGACATTAAGCTATTTAACAAAATAAAAATCAGGTCTGAGAATTCAAAGGAAAGCCAGCTGAGAACACAGAAAACATGCTTCCAGCCAAACCCTAAACCCCTCAGGAGGGTCTGGGCCCCCTGAAGCTAACAACAATCCCATCAGATTTTAACGAGTCTGCCAAGAAAAATACTACCTTGGATGTGAGGCAACTGCCTCTGCCTAGCTCATGTTCTTGTTTGTAGTACCCATCAACCAGGCAACTTGTGCCATACACGCCCCTCCTGGATGGTCTCAAGGAAAGGGAAGTCTGCTCAGTATTGCAGTATTCTGGGACAGGTAGTAACTGCAGTGCTATGGAAGACTCAAGAACTGCATGCACCAGCAATCGGGGTGGGGGACACAGTACAGAAGGCGAGAAGGAAAGAAGCCTGAACAACCCAGTGTCTGTGTCATCCAACCAGAGACCATCTGATCTACCGAGTATTGTTAAACATTTAAGAAACATTATTCAACTATATATATTCATGTGTTCATATCGAAGAATGGTATTTTATATTTCACTAATGTCAATACTATTACAATTCTTGAAGAATTTATAAAAATGAAGGCATAATCCAATTTAAATTATATACTTTGAGGCTAATTCCTTTAATAATTTAATTTTCCTTGATTTCCTATCTAAATAATCAAATAATATTTGTCTTATGATTAAATTAGCATGTATTCACAGGCCCTAGACACAAGGAGGTAATGACCTGACATTTGATATCAAGCATATTATGATATTAATCTCAAATAGGCCAAAAAGGTTTTGGAGAAACATTCTGTAGCTGTATATTTTGTGGGGAAGTGGAGCGAACAGGGCTTCCTTAAATTCCTTCTGTATTTCTGTTCAAAGAAGGCATTCAACACTGGTTGGGTAGGAAGGGGAAGAACTGACAGCATCCACAAAATGTTTCCACATACAGAGTTGCTTTGCTCTTATTTCTTCCAGTCATCCAGTGTGTCTTTGACAGTCATTCCCTGAGAGATTTCCAAAACCACCAGCAACAGTGCCACAGGTGAGAACTTCGCTGCTCAGCTTTTAACAAGCAGACGCCCCACAGTGACTACAACACCTGTGACACAGAGACACCTGTGTCTCCCCCAAAAGAAAGTTGTATTTCTACTCGTATAATCTGACTCTAGAGCAACACGGACCAACAGACCTTTCTGAAATAACAGAAATGTTCTGTATCTGCAATGTCCAATACAGTAGCCACCAGCCACAAGTGGCTACTGAGCACTTGAAATGTGGTTACTGCAACAGAGGAACTGAGCTGCTTGTTTTATTCTAATTAATTAAAATGTCAATAGCTACATGTGACTCGTGGTAACCTACTGGACAGTGCAGTTCTAGACCAACAGAATCTTTTGTTTTTCTTTTTCTTTTAAAGAGACTACATTCACATATGTATGTATAGCATTTTTTATTTCAATTCCACCAAACCCAAACCCAGATTTCACTTATCATTTTATCCATCATGACAATACCCTAAAAAAGCTGAGAACGAGAACAGCATTACTTTCGGTGAACATACAATGCAGAATAGAAATTGTATTTACCATCAGTGTAGAGTTACTTCATGACAGAAAACAGATTAAGTTCTCTTTCTTTTCTATCCCAGTTTCTCCAGTTTCTTCTTTTTATGACTAACAAGAATAATTAGTAATTGTAATGGTGACCCATCTGTACAGTTATGGTCAGGAGTAACATTTTAAATAAGGTCTTCTGCCTTGACTAAGTCATTAATACGCACCAAGGGGAAAAAATGTTCAAAATCTCCCAAAGTAAATATGAATTTTAATAGTTTCGCAATTTAATAACAAGGCTTCAGCCTTAACCAACAGTTTCCTGTGTTATCAGTAACAGAGTTCCCAAACTATTATTCATACAGAATAAATAACACCATAATTTATAAAACTTTGCTGACTGTTCTTTCCTTCTGTGGATTTTAAAGGGGTGCTTGAATAAATTCTGCTTTATTGGATCAGAAAATTTTTTGCTGCAGACTTTTAATTTTATATCAAGAATTTTTTAAAAAGGAGGAAATGGTGAGGAGTATTTTATGCTTGACCTAATTATCTTGAGGCATTCTTATTAAATGGAGTTTTTTAAAGTAGGAAAAGAAATTCAGGCTAGACTTGCTAAGTTACAGCCCAGATTCACTAAGGATCTTAACCACATAGTACATGCTAGGAGGAACTTACAAACGTATTCAGCTATTTAAGGGGGGAAATAAAACTCTAGAACATGAAAGTGTCTTTACCTCGTAGTGAACAAACTGGTCCATTTTCTTGATTCTTAGAGCGTTTATTTCTGAACTGACTTGGAATATCTAATGAAAGATCTTAAAAGAAGATAGAAAAACAGCTGTTAAAAAGCGTATAACTGTACTCAGTAAAAAATAACTTCAAATACAGATGTATTTCTAAAGATTTATCTCTTTGCTGTCTAATTTTTAAAAGGAAACATTAAAATTATTGTTTTAATAAAATACCATATATCCACATGCCAAATATATCTTACCTAGGAATGGGTCAAACTTTCTAGATTCTGTCCCACATATGAGACAGTTAACCTCATTTTGGAGAATGCCTCCAAATATAGCTGTGACAACAGTAGATGCTCCATTTCTAAAGAAAACAATCACATAGGAAAACATCTCAGTAAAAACCATTCTCTTTGACATTTGAAATACTAAAATAAATATTTGCAAAAGCCCCTGTAGGTGACTCCTTTGGGGGAATATGTGTATCACTTTTATTTATTTAAATTACAAAATAATACAAAGAAATTAGAAGACCAAACTCCTCTTCCAATCTCATTACATTTTCCAGAAGGAACTAACACCAATGTGGCACCACCCTTCAGGCCTTTGCTTTGTACGAATTAGCATATCATGTACATGCCTATACTCCGGGCAAGATGACCCCCACCCCCACCCCTACACACACACAGAAATATAACCACTCTTCACTTATTGACACAGTTAGGTTCCAAAGACCAGGTTGTTCTGTGAAAATTGGCATTATGCAAAAATGGAAGATGACCACATCACATCACAAATGGAGGATGACTACATCATTATGTAACTGTCAACCACCGAGAATCATGGTCCAGCCAAGTTGACACATAACCTTAACCAACACAGCCAGCGTTACTCTTGCCTCGCACCTCAGCGTTCTTTACTACCAGATGTAAGTCGTTAATGTGCAAAATAATCAGATAGTAGATTTTTTACTATTGTTGTAAATGCAAAATGTTGGCTAATGAGATAGTTGGTAAGTGAGGAGTAGGTGTATATCCCTCAGAAAACAGGGAACTGCCTTGTTTGTGAATCTTTGCAAGGCCTCTCTACTACTTTACTTTGAACCTCTGCAATCAGAGATCATTTTAGATATTTTTAGACAGGCGTCTGTCAGATTTGGGGTAAAGGAGGTAAAGAAATTTAATACAGATCCAGTAATTTTATTTCTGGAGGTATGACTTTATAATTGAAAGTGCTGAATGTTACTATAAACAAGCCTTTTTCAGAAGCTCACTTAAAAAAAATAGCATTAAGTACCGTATTTTTACACAAATAATGTGGCTTCTACATTTGTTCGCCGGTCTTGCCCTCCCCCCATTAAGTATTTTCGTAAGTGTGCTATGCTAGTTTTTTTCTACAGCAACTCTTGGAAGAGGATTGGCATGGCGGCACCTGTGGGGGTATCTCAAGGGAGGGGAGGGCGCAGCTGGTAAACAAATGCAGAAGGTGTGTATTATCTGCATAAAAAATATGGTAATTTCCTTCTGAGATCAAGAACAGTGGAAAAACCACCGTTCTAATGTTACTTAACCTTTCCATGCCTCAGCTTCATTCCTGTAAAGTAGGAATTAGAGGAAGAGTATCTGCCTCAGAGGCCTGGTGTGTAGATAAAATGAGTTATACATGCAAAGTGCTCTCAGAGGAGTGCTGAGCAAATAGAAACCACTTCAAGTGTGTGCACTGCCTTACTAGCATAAAGTCAAATCATACCTGCTTCTTGCTTTTATTTTTGTTTCCTACAGTGTGTATCTTGAACATGCACTGCAATCTTTCTGACAGCTGCACAGCACACCACAGTATGTACAGACAGTGGACAGAAGAACAAGCGAGAAAGCGTACAACAGCGCGAGTGTCAGCGAACGCTCGCTTAGATAGCACTTCCTACATGTCAGGCTCCATTCATCACATCTATTAATCCTCACAACTCCATGAGGTAGATACTATTAGCCCCATTTTACAGACAAGGAAGCTGAGGCTCAAAAGGTAAGTAACTTAGCATAGGTCACTCAGGTGGTCTGGCCTGAGCATCTGTGCTTCTGACACTATACTCTTTCTCTTACAAGATTTAACCACTAAGCCAGTGGATAGTGAGAATGTTTTTGCTAACACTAATAGTGCGACGATGAACAGCCGCGTCTTCGTACAGTGATGCAGTCCTCTGAGTCAGTAAATGCCCCGTTTTGCTAACAGCACTTGCAGTGGTTTCTGTCGCTGGCAATCAATGAACCATGCTTTCTCAGCTGCTCTAAATTAACCCTACTGCATAGACGAGGCAGGCTAACCCTAACCGAGCAATTCCATTATTCTAAAAGCGGCCTCCTTTCTAGGAAACAGCTTCCTTTCTTTCCTGGCAAAAGAAATATATTGCAGATTTAAAAAAAAAAAAAAAAAAAAAAGACTTTTGATAAGACATACAGGCCTTGGTAAATAAAAACAGATGATACATTGGGAACTGTAGGACATAAAGGCCCTTTCAGTCCTAGGCTGAATATCTGTGTCGTGAACAAAAGACATGCCAGAAAATACCAACTGAAACTGAACATCATGCTGATGTTGTAGTTTATTAAGGTGGAAATGGCTTTTATTAAAAAGCAATACATCTAAACTCAATTTAGCTCTTCCTTCGTAACTCCTCTGAGAAGATGCCCACAATTTAGAGCCGATCGGTGTGGTGGTAATTTTAGCTGCACCATGACTTAAACAAGGTTTGTGAATAAATTCTGAAGTTGCTGCCCACTTACTGTAAGTGCACACTCAGTGTGTTTCAGTATTGACTGCCTGGATGGGTCCTTACACTGCTAAACCAGTTGCCCTCAGGTTGACACCAACTCATGGCAACCCCACGTGTGTCCAAGTAGAACTGTGCTCCACGGGGTTTTCAATGGCTGATTTTTCAGAAGCAGATCGCCAGGCCTTTCTTCTGTGGCACCTCTGGGTGGACTCAAACCTCCAACCTTTTGGTTAGCAGCCAAGCACGTTAACCGTTAGCACTACCCAGTAACTCCCTTATGCTGCCAGAGTCCTTTATAGTGGCACTGATGATTTTCTATGTACTAAAAAGAAGAGATTTGCCAGTTACTTCTACCATACTACCACCACCACCACCTCACCTTCAGGAGGGTTGGCTGTGTTTGTACGAATGAATACAAATGTTGCACAGATGACATTTTCCTAATTTTAGTGACTATGATCCTTACATCCTGAAATGCCTCCTCCAATGACTTCAAGGAAATATAAGGGATTCTGAACTTAGTATATTTGGTGATAAACTTTTTCACTTCTAACTCATTAACAGAATTTGCAATTACCATTCTTTAAAACATCATGAAATGGTAAGAATTAATACTGAAAACTCATTAGGTACTAAAATAGCATGCTATGAGTACTACAGGAGCTCTGGTGGTATGGTAGTTAAAGTGTTCGGCTGCTAACCAAATGGTTGGCAGTTTGAATCTACCAGCCGCTCCGCAGGAGAAACGTGGCAATCTGCTTCCGTAAAGATTACAGCCTTGGAAACCCTATGGGGCAGTTCTACTCTGCTATAGGGTCTCTATGAGTCAGAATTGACTTGACAGCAGTGGTATGAGTATTCCACAGTGGACAGCAGTGGTATGTATGAGTATTCCACAGTTCATGGCAGTGGTATTATGAGTATTCCACAGTGGACGGCAGTGGTATGTATGAGTATTCCACAGTGGACGGCAGTGGT